TTGGCGGGTGCCTACAATGCTATTGATGGAAACCGGGATTCTAACTACCCAGCTGGATCATGCACCCACACAGTTGAACAGACCAACCCCTGGTGGAGAGTGGACCTGCTGGAGTCCTACATCATCACCTCTGTCATCATCACCAACAGAGGAGACTGCTGTCCTGAAAGGCTCAACGGGGCAGAGATTCACATCGGCAACTCTCTCCAAGACAATGGTGCTGTGAACCCAAAGTGTTCTAGAAAACAGTTATAGCTAGAGCTACAATTTAGGAGCTTTATTTCTTCCAGGGGAATTTAACTATGTTCAGTATTCATCAGCACATTTCCCCTCTGGACGAGTGGGAACAGCTTAAGGCTATAGCAACAGAGGCATTACTCATTCAAATACTGCTTAAGTTTTCAAAGTAAGTTTATTAAAGAATCAAACCTTGAACCTCAGTCCAATCACAACAGACCTGTTACTTTAAACATAACACTACTGTCTGCATCCCTGGGAAACCCCCTATTAAAGGCTAAACATGAACTGCTTCCTTTCTTTTTCTGTCTCTTTTAGGGTTGGTGTAATTTCTCAAATCCCTGCAGGGAACTCATTCACTGTAACTTTCACTGATCGTGTGGAGGGACGCCACGTTACAGTGCTTCTACCTGGTTCAGCCAGGGTTCTTACACTGTGTGAAGTGGAGGTTTATGGGTACCGTGCGCCAACTTGTGAGAATTTGAGCTACACACCATTGTGTCGATAAAATAAATAGACTGTATTTCTGTTATTCATAACTTATGAGTTGCTATAGAACAAATATAGTGTGAGGAGATCTCGTGACACCAGTGATATTTCTCATAGTGGCCTCATGATATCAGAGCTCATTCAATTGAAACTTTTGACATGCTGTCACATCACACATCAATTTTCTCAAGCACTGAAAAACCAATGTATAAGCGATATTGTCTCCACCCAGCTAATGCAACACCAGCGTACGCCGTGATAGTAATCAAGTGGACCCTCTCTCGCACTGTGAGTTGCAGACAGTTAGTGACAGAGTGGTACCGCAACTGGTATAATTTTGCAATATAGACATCTAAAACTGAGGGACAAACTTGCTTGACTCTGTGCTGCACTTTATTGGATGTGCCTAAGTAAACAATTGTTTAGATTTGTGAAGAGATTTCTCCCTGATCTGTGTTTTCAATTAGTTTTGGCCTCCACTTACTTGTCTGATCCTAAAATACCGTCCCAAATGGTTCAGTGTCTGTCAGATGGTTTGAAGAGGATACTACCACATCAGCAGAGCAATAATGATAATAATGATTATTAGCAAGCAACGACAAGGTAATTCAAAGTGCTTTGCAGTAAAAGCAGTATTTCTAGAAAGTCGGGGGCTTAACAGAGACAGACTGACAATGGTAATCGCAAGATATCTAAGGCTATTTTGAGACAATCTCTAAAAACACTGGATCCTACCATTTCTTTTATTCATCTCAAAAGTGTCTTTACTTAAATCCTACAGGACTGGTAAAGCCCACATTTTTTAAATTTGTAAACCACAAGCTATAACACATTTAAGTAAATGTACAATTTATCCTGACCCTATATTGTAATTAAAACAAAAGGTATCGTGCTGATTTTATATTGTTTTGCAGGAGAGAACCTGGCACTCCAAGGAAAAGCCTCACAATCGTCACTGTATTCATATGGCATTGCATATAATGCCATTGATGGGAATAATGGCAACGCTTTGGAACTGGGTTCTTGCACTCACACAAACAACAACATGAACCCCTAGTGGTGACTGGATCTGCGCAAAACCCATAAAGTGTTTTCTGTTAAGATAACCAACCTCAGAGATCCTACTTACTCAGGGCGACTGAATGGAGCGGAGATCCACATTGGAGATTCTCAATAATCCACGGTAGTTTATAGACTTATTTACTAAGTCACTTAATTTGAATGCATCACATTTGTGCTAACAGAGGAAGGATATTTTGTTCTTTCTCAAAAATATTCCCTGGTGCTAAATAACACCATCTTCCATCATCAGTAGAGCAGATTGTACGATACAGCCAAACCTTACTGATATTGATATTTGAGAGTTTTTTTTCCTTATTTCAATCCAAGTTAGGCATTTCCGTAATGCAATTTTTCTTGTTCCTTATCGGCCGACGTATGCCCCAGTACAGATATATCGTCAAGAGAGCTAATACCGGCATTTTATCTAGCTGTGTTGTATGAAACTGAAAGTAAATGTGGTAACATTCCCTTTTTTCCATTATCAAGCCCTAATAAAAAAAAAAACTCCGGCCAGCAACAGTCTAACAAAATGATGAAATGAACGGTCTATTTTTTCAGTCAATCCCTGCTGAGCTAAATAAGTGATTTCTGTTTCTTCTACCAGGTGTGCTGTGATTACAAGCATCCCGGCAGGTGCTACTGTTGAATTCAAGTGTAACAGGAATATTGGGATGGATGGACGCTATGTTAACATCTATATCCCTGGAAGAAAGGAGTACCTGAGCCTGTGCGAGGTGGAGGTGTATGGCTCCAGACTGGACTAGCTTAAAATTCACTTTTACACAAATTCACTTGTATTTAACCATTACTGTAATTTGTAGTCAAACTAATCTGAATAGAAGATTAAGCTACAGTTTATTGCATTAAAATGTAAAAACTGTGTGCAAATGGGCCAAAGTGTGTCTTAGCCATGGGCAATTTTCCTGAAAAAAATAAATATGTTTGTGTGCATTCAAAAATATTTGTGTGGAGAGTCATTTACATATTCACTCACCGGCCACTTTGTTCAATTGCTTGTTAACACAGTTGAGTATTTCAGAAACTGCTGATATTCTGGGATTTTCACAACATGTCGAACCTTAAAGAGGTGGTATTATGCTTTTTAGTTTTTCCCCCTCTCCTTTATTGAGTTATGTCTCTTTTTTGGTGCATGTAACAGGTTTGCAAAGTGAAAAAGCCCAAAGTCCAGCCCAAAGGGAGTTCCCATCTCCCACAGAAAACACTGCTCTAAACTGCCTGAAAACACCTCATTTGTAGTCCAGCCTTTACTTCCACTTTCTTGGGATGTCACAAGAAAATACATGTCATAATGCTCACCGAACAACTAGTCTGACACGCCCTCAAGAACACAGGTAGGAAAACACTGAGCTGTAGCACCTTCCAAAAACTAGCTACCCTCCAGGCAGTCAGTGGACATAAAGTTACTGTAGTTAAAACTTTATGGATGAAAGATACTTTTCTTACAGAGTTTCAACTCACCACTCTGGAACTCTCCAGTCCATGTTGCTAAGCTGGTCGGCAACATGTAGCCTCCAGCTGAATCGAAGCAGTTTACCATCTTTTCGCTGACCCGCCCTTCTCTGCTTCTGATTGGCTAGTACTCCTTAACTAGGAACTGCGCATGTGCAACTCCCAACAAAGATCATTGAGAGACAAGATGGATCACTCCATAGCTAAAACGAAGCCTTCAACACAGGGTGAAAAGAGGAGCTGCAGCAATGCGCAGTATGACAAAAAATATGGTGTGTTTTTGAATATTAAACCATGTAAACCTGTTCTGGTACTACCTCTAAATAGGATTTTGAACCTGAAAAGTAGCGTAATAACACCTCTTTAAAGCAGATGGGCTACAGCAGTAGAAGACCACATCAGGTGCCACTCCTGTCAGCTAAAAACAGAAAACAGAGGAAAGAACATAAAAGCATGGCTCCGTCCTGCCTTGTATCAACGGTTCAGACTGGTAGTGTTGGTGTAATGGTGTGGGGGATATTTTCGTACACTTTGGGCCCCATAGTACCAACTGAGCATTGTTTAAAAATGATAGCCTATACCTGAGTATTGTTGCTGACCATATCAATCCCTTTAGGACAACAGTGTATCTTGAATAGGATAATGAGGAGTTCACCGTACTCCAATGGCCTCTAAACTCACCAGATCTCAATCCAGTAGAGCAACTTTGGGATGTGGTGGAATGGGAGATTCACATCATGAATGTGCATTCAACACATCTGCAGCAACATGCAATATGGACCAAAGTCTCTGAGAAGAGTTTTGTCGTGTAAAAAATTCAAGACTTGGGCACACATTCTATTACCAGAACAGCGACCCTGACAGCTGCTGATCTGGATCTGGGAATGTCCCAAATGTCTCTTTTTCTTTTCTCATCATTTTCCAACCTTTCAGCATTTGGTGGATTTTTAATCACTTTTATTTCACTATGACTGGTCTCTCTCTTTTTGTCATTGCTTTCCAACCTTTCGGTGGATTTTAATTTAAGTATGATTGTTCCTGGCTGCACTGCTCCCACTCTGTGTTCTTGGCATGCCCTCTGCTGATCATACTATTTCAACACACACACACACACACACACACACACTCTTCTGCTGAGCCTAGGCAGTTATATACAGAAAGGATCACACACACAGAGCTATAGAATTCTAACAGTGTCATTCTAACTTTACACTATAATTATGATAAAAATAATTTAAATGACGACAATGTAGACCACCATCGCTCTGATAATTAATAATAACAATTTAGACTATAATGCTCTAAAATTATACACAACAGTTTCCAACACCTTGTTGAAAGTATGCCACAAAGAATTAAGGCAGTTCTGAAGGTAAAAGGCAGTCCAACTTGGTACTAGCAAGGTGTACCTAATAAAGTAGCCAGTGACAGTAAATCCCAACATACATTTGTGAATCCTTCTGTGGGAATTCAGTAATATCGAGAGAAATCTGTAAAAAAGAGGTTGCGAGTATGCCTCTGGAGCAAACAGGCATTAAGTGTCTTGCTCATGGACACGTTGGTGGATGTGTCACAGTGGGAATCGTACCCAGGTCTCTTACACCACAGGCGTGTGTCTTATCCACGGCGCCCACCAACCCAAGAGAAAACTGCAACCCTGACGTGGGTTAACAATGAAAGGACATTTTCATTCCTGAAAATCTATGTTCCGAACATATCGTAAAATTCACCAGTCAGCCAAATAATGCAACAACATTGAAACTTTATTTCTGGAGATCTATGAATCAAATGTTTTACCAGCACATATTTTGGCTTAGTTTGGGCTTGACAGTTTTTACCTCAGATCATTTATCATCAATGATGAACCTGAAAAGAAAATTATTATTATTGATAAAACTGTGTCTGATAGATGAGTATAAACGGTTGATGGATGGGTGGTTTAAATATCATAAAAGTCCATTATGAAATTAAGACTGTAATGTCTAAGCATACTGTACAGGCCTGCCAGAAAAGAGTGCTGTGACTCATTCCCAAAGAGTTTTTATGACGTTTCTCTGTTCCTCCACCATCTGCCTGCTGAGCATTGTCGCCATGACGACCCTACTGTAGAGACAGAGAGAAAATGCATCTGGGTTGCTCACATGTGCCACCTGGTGGTCATTGGTGCACACTACAGCTACTCCTAGCTCTTTTGTTTCACTCCGCTTCATGGTCGCATTATCGTGGCAATCACGTTAATTGAAATGAGAATCAAAGAATTATTTTCTAGTACCACTCACATCAAGTAAACTGCTACAAGTGGTTTGGACTGGCTGTTACACAACTGACAAACAGGGTTCTCAATCACTAAAAATACATTTTTCATGTGCTGTACCCGAATACGCAGCTTTAATAACAAGACTTTGGCAATAAACAATCATTCAAGACACAAAGGAACCCTTTAAAGGCCGTACACTGGTATTTTACAAAATAATTGTTTGGGTATTTACAAAACATTTGTTCCAGGGCAGAGTTAAGAGATTTTGCCATATAAACCTTCAGTTTATAACTTAATCAAGAACAAAAGCTCTTCTACCATGTGGAATTTTGTTCAAAATCTTGAGTGAATTTCATCTAGACACCAAAGCTGAATGATATGTATTAAAAAGATTTTTTAAAAGCTTCCAAACACATCCCCTGTGATTCTAAAGACTCTTAAAACACTGTTCTTAACACCTCGACGTTTGCATAAAATATTCACACAAATAAATTATAAAAATAGTGTACTACTGAAAAATCTTTCAGCTCAACACTGTGCATAACAATAAAAGTCTGCTTTTGTCAAGTTTGCAAAGGGTATTGCTTCACAGTATGAGGACATCATCGATTGGTCCCGCCACACAAAATTTACTTCTTTAGCGTTAAGTCAAAGAATATGAATTATATACAATAAAAAACAATACTGATGTAAGAACAGCATCTCTTTGAGAACAATGTTTCTTAAAATAAGCATTCTATGTCACAGAACCAATGCAAATAACTAAATGAAAGCTACAACACCTTTTGGCTTTCACTTGGGCAGAAACTGCTGCGTAATAGGAACGTCGCTGGATGACAAAGACGCAGCAATAAGGATGATTGGCAAAATGAGTTTCTTTAAGTCACAAATACTGACAACTGTGGGTGCACCAAGTCTCCTATGACAAAGTGTTTTGGCATGTCAAGCCTATTATTAGTCCACTGCTCAGTGAAACAGAGCCCCACAAAAAAAGTGGAACTGTGGGGGGTTTGAGGAAGTAAAAAGTAAAAAAGCAGCAATGGCAGTGACCGACCAAAACATATTAAAAAAAGAAGTGGTGGAAAAACCAGCAGGTTTGGTGGTAAACCAGTCTGTCCCACGATGTTATCTGAGATCTTTGGTAGCTTTGGGAACTTTGAGGACTTTGTAAATGTCATTGGAAAAGACTGTGGTGAAGTGGGGCCGTGAGTTCTTGGACATGTGGGTGCAGAGGGGAATTTTACCAACATTTTCTGAATCCTCAACATCCCAGATCTCTGGCATGCTGCACCCGGGCCTGGGCGAGGAGGGAGGGAAGAAAATAAAGATGAAGAGAGTGAGTGAGAGGGAGAGAAAACAGGGTTGTGGCAATCTTGAAGATTTTCATATAAAGAAATGTCTGTTAAGTCACTATAAATTACCAAATTATTTAACACAGTGGTGTCAGAACCTGTGGCTCAGTGATGAGAATTATGACATGCCTCGCATTTGCATTATTACCAACTGGGTGTCTGTGAAGACACTCCTGGAATAAACCGAACATTTCTAACTAAAGCAGTTTCACATAAAGTGCATTTAACTGGCGAAACATGAGTAGACTTTTACCATGTGTGTTTGTCAGTAAGATCACCACCGATCACTAGTCTACAAAACATTTTTTGCGGGGGAAATATTGCGGGGAGTAATGAACAGTCAGGAGCGGCCACAGTGAACTGTTAGATAAAGAGCTGCAGGTGACAGACTGCACACCTCCAACTTCTCAGCGAGGTTTACCAACAGCTTCTCACAGAATCACGCTGTGTGCTGCATAAATCACAACACAGTTGCTCACAGATTGATGGAAAAAGGCCAATTACTGCCTGACTTCTTCATTAAAATGACAATAGTTAGTTTAGTTCCCTGGAACTTTGTGATCTGTAGTATTAAACTGCATTTGATGTTACAATCAGTAACCACAGGTGTTGCCAAATCAACCAGGACTGAAATTGTAAGGATTGCTACTTCAAGAAATCACTCATGGTGCTGAGGGTACCTGGTTCGCCTAGTGCACCAGGAATCCTCCAGGACGAAGAAGTCCACTCCCAGCTTCATCAGGTTCCTCTTAACGGTTTCTCCAGACATGCGGCTGTACATGGAGTAAACCAGCTTGGTTCTCTCCCTGCGAGCAACGCAATACAACAACCCATAAGGTGGGGAACAACTTCAGAGACATTTTATGCACTAGTAGAGCAGTCAAATAATAAAATAATACTGTATTTGATGAAAAAAAGAAAGACACGTTTATCACCTTTACTACAGATGTCATAAATCGTCCACAAAGTTATGGGAAAGAGAACTGAATCAACCACAAGGCCAACTGGATTTAACAAATTAAAGCAAATAAGTGCTTGAAAGCAGAACTTTGAACCTGCAAATATTTGGATGACATCCTCTCTTACCAGTCCCGAAAATCCTCACAGGAGTATGTTTAATGTCATTTTAAATTATTTATGCATTTTCATTTCAAGAAGAATTTTTTTGTTTTGATGTTTGGATTTTAACCTTACTGTCTTATTATGTGAAGAATTGTAACATGCTTGTGATAAACAAAATAATTGTTCAAAAATGTGCCCTGTGATCTGGGTAGCAATGTGCGTTCATGGCATACTTTGCCATACTTCTTGCCTTGCTTTCGACGACATCTGGCTCACTCTAACACAGTGGTAAACACTTTGACTGTGCTGGTCGCCTGCTCCAAACGCCATGACTGCTTGTATCAATTTATTTTGAGAAATTCTGAATATATATTTTAGAAAACAGAATGGGGAAAATAGTCTGGAAACACGTATTTTTCCATACGTCCGTTTCTGTTTTCCACACCTATCCAGACCTGGAATTTAATAAAATCAAATACTTTTCCATACTGCGAAGGAACCCTGTGAGAAATGCACACCCCTATTACACTGTACATGCTGTGCATTGACCAGGATACAGCACTCTGAACAGGACTGCAAACAGCCTCTAGCCAAATATGAATGTTTTGGTGAACAAATTCTTTCTCTGTGTCTCTGATCTGAGCATGAGAGCAATCATGCCGCTGTAAGGTCCACTGACCTCAGACCAGCATCTTCATAGTGGGGGTGGTTGACGATGGGCCGACCTGTGGAAAGTTTCACGCTGGCCATGGTGGGCATGGCCCCAGCAAACACAGCATCTGCATCAACCACACATGAAACGAAAAACAAATAAGACAATAAAAGAGAGGATGGAAAGGGCCCGTTGTTGAGTGCCTATGTTACACTAACAGTATAGAATATACCACGGAACAGCACAACAGTGGTCTTAATTTCCATCAGTTAGTTTTGTAGTTTGTAAAAAGTTAGCAGTGAAATGTATAATCATATTGGATGAAGCAGTTTGAGGTGCTGTTGAATTGTACTGCATTATTCTGACAGGTGGGGGGTACAAAATAATAGAAACACCTGTCAGTACAATGCAACGTAAACTACATACAACTGAATCAACAGTTCTCAAAATCAGTTTCAACAAATACTGCACATTATAACCTGTGAAGAGGTAGGACTTGTTGCAGGACTGTTGTATTAGACTGCATTAGTTATAGGTGCACCTATTAAACATGTGTATATTCAATAATATTGAGAACAAAACAACTGTTATCATTTCAAACAAATCAAACAGACCTCTTTGACCCTTGAAATCTCCAAGACCATGCTCACTGGGTAAAAAACAACCAAAATGTCACCCGCTTGTCGCACACGGACATTTACCTCCTTGACCTTGGAAAGAAATAATACTTTTGTTCACCCTTTTATAACTATGAAAGCAATTCAGATTTTGAGTGGACCTGTCAGAGCAGATTTTGAGGAGCACACGCTTGGAAGAACTATACTGGCATTTAAAGTGGAACCAGAAGCTCTCTTGGCACTGTGCATTGTTGTAGTTTATCCTGAACTTAAATAACTTATATTGATCAGAAAATCATTTTCAATGTGGCATTGAAAGCAGGCAACTACACTCACCAGGAGGGGTGTTGTCCTGGATCCAGTCCAGCAGCTCCTCCTGCGGTAGGTTGCTGAACTCTCCAATGATGGCCCACTGGGCCTGCAGGTTGGCCACTCCCTGTACGGCCATGATTGCCATGAGCGCAAACACGGCAGTCTGGTGTTTAAACTTCTCCCCAATCCAGCCAAACAACTGACAAAACAACCAGGGAGAGAGCGAGAGCATGACTGAAGGACAGAATGAGTGCTCAGATATCTCCTTAGTAATGCACAATATAGATAGATGGTTCTCACACCTTCTTAAACATTAAATTAAAATACATTTCAAGGACTTTATGGGCCCTAAATGTATACAAATCAAGCACTTTCAATGACCCTTAGATGCACCAATTGCAGTTTCCTTGGCCAAATATACCTGGGTGCAGCACAAGTAAAGTCTATGTTGGCTTGTTTTGAGCTTATAGGTTTTACAATTTGCAAGCTTCGGCTCTTCTTCATTCACTGTGAAGAACTTTTTTTCTCTAAAAAAAATAAAAAATTAATCACACTTGCGGTGAGAAGCAAACCTGTTTGGAGCAGATGAGCGAGGCCATGATGCACATGTGGGGCGTCAGGAAGAGCTTCAGGCGCATGATGAGGATGGCAAGGACAGCAAACGCCACCAGCTGCAGACTGTGGTACACCAGCTGCAGAGTGACAAGTTCACACACAGTCTAATCAAAACTAACAAGAAAGTGCAGAGAAAGAGTGCTGTTTTTAATTCCCCACATTGACACTTTTGTCAGTGTCAGGTACAAATCACAGGTGAATTACTATTACAATCCTATCACAACCAGTCATTTATCAAGCAAAAATAACAAATAAAAGTGATATTTACATACAGTGTTTCTTGTGTTAAATGAATTTACTGCCACATAAAACATTTGGCATTTAAAATATTTAAAGTTTTCCATTGTTTATACCCATGTTTACTAGCTTGCAGTCCTCTTCCATACCTTTAATGGTGCACTGCTACGTTTGTTGGTGCCTCCACCAGCTGTCAGTTAGTGGTATAGCACAAAACCTTTGGCAGAACCCACTCATAAAGGCTTCATAGCGCTACTGGTGGTCAAAAATTCCACAGGGTAACTTTAATATTTGCAGATTTGTATTTTTATGTCTGGTAATAGTACTAATTATACACATTACAAAGTTAAAGTTACTGAGAAAATGAATCTGAGAAAGCTAATTATGCATGATTGCATAACAATAAGATATGTGGGAAGGAGTAGGCGAAGAAGAACATAGAGGAAGATTTTTCAAAGATGATTTTGAAGGTAAATAACACCTTGTGCTTCCTGCTGCTACAATGAATATTTGTATTATCTCAAAGTACAATAATAGCTAATGAGAGACTGACTGTCATGGCTGTGTAATGCTGAGGAGGGCTCTTGATTGCAAGCAACAAAGATCAATTGAGGATTCGAATATTGTGTGATCTGGTATTTGATTGATGACACTTACCTAGACAACAACTGACATTTCAGTTTCCACGACAGTAACATTAGCTTTTTACTTAATTGAGGCACTACAAATTAAGTGAACTCACTTCTAAATTGTTCAAACTTGATTTCCCATGTAGCAGCTCTACTGTCAGTGAAACTATGAGGTCTTTAGAGGTAGCTCCACCTCCCTCCAAGTCACGCTGATCTGAAGCTATGTCTGCTGGACAGGCTGTATAATGCCACGTGCATGAAGCTTTGATCTTTTCTAACACAGCTTTCCCTTGGGACTCTGAGCCAGAAACATTAACACAATTATCTGGCAACTCTGGAAACTTCCACACACTGTCGCTGGTGGATGAATATCTGAACGGGAGTTATATTACAGAAAATGACATGAAGCATCTGGGGGAAAGCTGACAAAAGGCAGCACAGTGTGATTTCAGAGCAGAAGCAATTCGAGAAGGGCCGCCATCCCCCTTGTTAACCTGATCAAAAGATGCTCTGTGCTTTGTCTAGAAAGACTGAACATGTAGGAGTCTGTCCATTCTTGATTAAACACTGTGTTCTACTTTTCTCTTTTTAGAGCACGGCATGTGAAATTATTTCTCCACGACTCGTCTGTGTTCCTGTGTGTATCTCACTCACTGATTTGAGTAGCAATGCTTATCAGAACGCACAGATTTGATTGGCTGAGTAGCATCACATGCACTCCCAATGGACCACCCCCGTTAAATTTAACAAATCATCTACTGAGCAGAAGGGAAGCTGCCTTTCTTTTCTTAGTAATTAATGAGAAAAGGGATGAAAACCACTTAGGGACATAGTAACCGAGCAGACATTACTGCACTGGAGGAATCTAATCAAAAATAGAACGCTGCTATAAAAAACGTAAGAGTCGACACTGAGGTGTTATCAAGATGATACTTATTATATATTTAATTAACAGTAACAAAAAAGATGTTAAAATATTTTTATCTCACCTCTCCTTTTCCGACTATTTCAGACCTGCAACACAAAACAGACACTATATATAAACTCAGCTTTCCACTTGGGACAAAATAAAGTGCAAATGCTGAAATATGAAAAAATATTTATTTTTAATCTGATTCTGATCTGAAGATACTGTTTATTCAAAGCTTTCATAACATATTATTACAAAATAATTATATCATCCCATTTGTAAAACTGTAACTGATAGAGTGAACAAATAAGCAATAAGGCCAGTAAGGAGGCCTCGGGACGCTCACCCTGCAGCTTCATCTGCATCGTCTGTCTTCCCTCCGTCCCTCAGGAACCGGACTATATCCTGAACAGTCTGAAAAGGACAACTGGTTAGAACAAAATGCTAAAAATATTCTTTTAAATGTCATGTTTCCAACAAATACTGCACTGTATGAGAAGATCTTCCTAACAGCATGCTCATGTACTGCATACCACGCTTTGTCAAAGAAACTCATGTATTCTTAGCTTAGAGTGGGGATAATGAGATTAGACTCTATAAAGAGCAGCTCCTTAAACGTTTATTTTCTCTGATGTCTCAAATATTTCATGTTTCTGGAATCAAAAATAAAATGCCTGTTCTTCCTTTCTCAAAGCTTGAGAATACACATGTAAATGTAAACAAAAACAATGTTCCTTTATATCAATGGACCACCAACTGGTGAGGATGCTTACGGCCTGCCTGTTAGCTTTCGCCTGTCTTTTAGCAAAATGTCATGCATGTAGCATTGTTTCAAAAAATACTATATTTTGAGTGTTAAACCTGTCCCCTTTGTCAGCGTAAATAATAACCTCTGCAGTCATCTCTAAAGGTGCGTTAACACCAAAAGTGAATCCAGCGTTTTGGGCGGCTTGGTTACATACAAAGTCAATGCAAAGACGCAAATTCCTGTGAATTCCGCCTCCGGGCAGCACAAATGAGGCGTTTGTTGCTAAATTCGCTGGTTTGTGCGAGTTCAAATTTTTCAACTTGGGCGAGAAATTCGCTTGACGTGATGTTGCGAAAGCCTATCAGTGGTGAGATAGTCCAAACGTCACCGGCGGCTTTGGAGCGTTGTTTGGAGAGGACCAGGCGAGTGGTGTAATGACTAGCTGCTAAAGAACGGGGAAGTGGACGGGGAACAGTGCTGCAGCTTTCGGACAAATAAACACCCGTAGTCGGTCTGGATTCTGCTCTGACAACTACGCGTTTACCCGCGAGAGGAGCTCAGAGTTAACTGGTTTTATTAAATTAGCTTTTTACTTTAGTTTTTGGAATTACAACTTGATTTATCTTCACTCGCGCTTCTCAGCAGCTAGTTTCCGTGCACATCCGGTTCCACTGCTGTTGTCAGCGTCAGATGGCACCAGAGTTCTGCTGGACTACTAAGTCATTTTTATATAAAAAAACGGACAAAGCTGGACATTACTTGGAGAAAAGAAAGCGAGGAAGTTGAACTACCTGGTGAGTTCAGAAAATGTCTGTCTGTAACTTTATTCCAGCTATTGTTGTACTTTACTGTGAACAGGTTAGCATAGCATAGCCCTGATCAATTCAGAAAACAAACATTTTAAAAGTTGTAGTCCTGCTGTCTTGCTGACAGACCTGACAAAGAATGAATTCATGTCTAACAAAACGGAAAAACAAAATTTTAGTTATTTTGCAATTAAATCACAGCAAAGCGTTTACTTTGGGTTCATATAGCTGTAGTGTCCACGGACTGTGTATTCGCTTAAAAACGCACATGTGTGAACACTCAAAATGTCCAGCGGTCAAACTCGCGCGAGTACAGCGAGGCGAATATTAAATTCGCTTTCGGCGTGAACGCAGCTTAAGATTTACAGGCAGACTTTGTGTAGTTACCATGCTTTTTTTCGGTCAGACTTGCTCTACTGCTTTGAAAGCAAACCAAAGTATTTTTCCATTTCTGAGGTCTATGGTCCAAAACCTAAAAGAAGACTTACCCTCCAAGCAATGAGAACAACCACCAGGATGTTGATGGGCAGCAGCAACGTTCTGAGGTAACGTAGAGGGGTCTGAGGGAGAAAGACAGACACAGACTAGTGAGGTAACTTAAGAAATGAGAGAGACAGAGCCATCTAATAATGTACACTCAGCTCTAACTTGTGTGCATATTCACAACAAGCGCACACAAAAGTGAAACCAGGTCACCGGCTAGCACAGAACTCTACTTGAAATGAGATGCCATGTTCAGGTTTCTATTTCCTGTTCAAAATTCAGAGCACAGACTTGGTTCCTATTACATTTAGACCTGGTGCTAGAAAATACCAGACACTTACAAACAACCACACTTATTACAAATCTGCAGACATTTTTTAAACTTTGATATCTTCAGGAGACTGAGGGACATTTTGAAAACCACAAAAAAAACTCCTGAAACATGCATTTAACAGTTTGATGATGATAAATGATAAACGATGATAAATGGCAACTCTGATCGAGGGGCCGGATTTAGGTCAAAACAGACATTACCTCTAACTCAAGGAAGTCGAATTCAGCAGCACAAGTGTACATCAGAGTGTGGAAGTCCTTGTAGTTCGTGAACTTAGACTTGATCAATCCACTGATGTGAGCCTGGAAAAGACAAAAAATATTACATATTACAGACATGTTTCCTATACATTTTATATTTAAACATTTGCTTTAATTTGTGGGTTTTAAATGCTGGAAAGAATTTGAAAATGTTAATTATTCTCTATGACCCTTTCTGATGGTGGAATTTAATAGCCAAGTTTTCACTTTTAGGTCGACTACATCATGACATTTTCAAATACATAAAATTTAATAATAAATGCCATAATAATAAATAGAGCAGCGTGTGCATTAGTATGTATTGTCAAATGGTCAAATATTGTCAAAAATGTAAATATATTTGACATAAACATCTACTTTCCATGTTTCTCTCTTTCTAAGAACATAGGAACAACTTTGTAGTCATTACTTTTATGTTCATTCAAAAATATTATAATTATCACAAAATATAATTTAATGTAAAAATAATTCAAACTGAATATTCGCATTTTGTTCTGATAGACAAATTTCACAAAGTTAGTAGCTTACATCATCTGAGGCACAGAGGATTGTGGACAGCATAAATTTGAGCAGAACTGTGGAGCCAACCCAAGCAACAACCTGCATGACCTGAGGAGGAAGAAGAGATACACACTGACACGTACACACATACGCACACAACTCACACAGGAACTTATAATCACAGCCTCAAGGCGCTGTGGGATTGGAAGCAGGCTAGGTAGGCTGCGATGTTGACTGGACACAGCTGCCAGACAATTCTTTTCAACCTTGTCAATGCTGAATTTTAACATTTAATTTGAAACTACTTTTTAGCCACATTTATTTATTTTGCCATAAAAAAACAAAACAACAAATGTTGTAAATTATGTATATCCCACCAAACAAAAGAAGTAGTTCTACATACCCAGATGACAACGCCAGGTTTGAAGACTTGAGCAAACAGATTCCTCAATGCAATGATTCCCTGAAAAAAAAAATAAAAACCCATAACCCATAATCCAAAATGACAAAACACACGGAGCTGGATACATTGATGAACTTATCTTGATTAACCAGACTCTAAAAAAAAGGTCCAACTGACCCAGATGGAGACGAGTGAGGAGGCGTAGAATGATGTGAGCAGCATGGAGTTGCCAAACATCAGGATAAAGCAGATGCCGAGAGTGATCTGCAGGATGAGAACAGGAAGGAGAGGAGGTTTCATTCATCACAATCCTGGTGAATTCACACGGCTGTGGACTGTGGAGTGCAGCCCATCCAGCGTCAGTAACGGGTGTTTTCCAGCAGCTTAAAGTGCTTGATCTGTCGGTGTAATTACAAACAATGCCAAACATGCGAGCTTGGCAGTGAGCTCAAGAAGGCACAGCCAGCTTCTGTAGGTTTCCATTAAAACACTCGGCTCTTTATTGACTGCCACAAAGAATAACATCGCTGTCTCTATAGCAGGAGGGTGGTCTGGGATGGATCGTATTAAATAATCAATAACAAGTCTTTCTGTGTGACAATGTTGTTGAAGTCATTCCTGAAATATAAACAAATGCAGTAAACTTTTGATACACAGTCACTAGAAAAATATAATCCTATTCAATAAACTCTTGATGCTTCATCCCACAGTGAAAAGTGAAATAACGTATTCTGCATTAAGTACGCCGTAGGGCAGTGATTCCCAACTAAGGAAACTTATAACCCAGGGGGTACGTGGAGAGATTGTGAAGTTGTTAACTAATAAAAAAATAGATACATTTTGAATAGAAATAATTTTACTCAAAGTAACAAATAAATAGTTAAAATATCTAATGTACCGGATAAATCTGACTCTCTTAAAGTTACTTTTGTTCTTCATAATGACGGCAGACAGACAAACTGTTATCACAGAAAGAACAAAAACACCAAACAACCACATTATTTTCTCTGCTGCTTTAGATGTTTTGCGTCGAGTAGACAAATTCTTCAGTTTTTTACTTCTGACTACGAGTCTTCTGCAGTACTGTAATACTAAATGCTAAAAGTGTTTGTCCACAACTTTAAAGTCAAAACTACTAAAAGATAGTAGGGCCATCCCTTGAGAAACTCTGTGAATCAGCATGGCATAACATCACATTAAGGCTGGCCAACAACATTGTCTCTGACCCTAACAATGTCCTGAACAGTGATTACAAATTGGTACCATCAAACGGGAGATAGAGGATTCCACGATTTAATAAGGTTAGACTGAAGCACTCCTTTGTATCAGTCAATCCTAAAGTTAAATATCGAGCATAATCCCAGATCAAATGTACACTGAAGGGCCTTCAGTATTGTCTTGTGTGAATGTAATGTTAATTGTGTGCATCTTTGTCAATTGTCTAGGCTTTTGTCTTCATGTGATGTTGCAAAAGGAGGTGTTTTGACGCAGGGGCTATTTCACTCTCAGTCTAAGAAGAAAGTATCGGCATTACCATCATAAATGGTTAGCTAAAAGTGTTGAAATAGACTAGGTTAGTTAAACTGTCCTAGTTTAATGGTTTGAAAACATCCGAAGATATTCAGTTTAGTATCATAGAGGCCTACAAAAACAAGCAAATCTGCACATTTAAAAGGCTGCAACCAGTGGATTTTGTTTAGAAAAATAACTTCAGAAATCTACTATCAAAATTATCGCACATTCATTTTCTACTGATCATCAAATCAATGAAATCAACTAGCACAACAATTTTTCAAGCTAAAATACCAAATATTCTCTAATTTCAGCTTCAGAAATATGAGGTCTGCTTTTCTCTTTTATAACATTGTAAATACAAAATTATGGGGTTTTGGATTAATGTAGTTATTATCTTCTTCATCTAAGGTTGTGATGGGCACTTTAAGACTAAACACAAAATTAATTATAGAAAGACCTGACAGATGATTTGGATACCCTGATACTGCTCAGGCTCATTAACAACCCTGTAGGTTGTGAGGACACCCATGCCTGGTTGTGTGTCTCAATTTCTTTTTCTTTTAACACAAACACACACAAAGCCAAGTCGTCGTCTAAATTATGCAGAGCCATATGCCTTCCTCTGACAAAAATCTCCACCATCTCACCACAAAGGGCCTTCTCCTTATCTGTGGAGCACACAGGCTCTGGCTAACAGCCTGGCATGCTGAGGGGATTAGGGGGAAAGAATGTGGAGAGGGATGAACGGCCAGAATAACACACACACACCCAAACATCTTTACACATTCTACATTCTCACATCAACAGATATGCACATACATGTATTTGTCCTTGGCAGGGTGAACAAAGTTCCCCACATATCCTCCCACTTTCATGTTAAAAAGGAACTTGTCCACACACACTGGCATCGTTGATGCTAAAGAAAGTCGCCCCTGTCCCCACTGATGTTGTCCTCACAGCTCATGAAATTCTCCCGGCCGAGGAGCTGAGAGATAAGTAGAACCAAGGCAGAGTACATTACAGGACAGCAGCTGGAGAGACTTTCACTTATGCTGGGCACAGGACATGATCCACACACATGGTGAACGCTAATGTACATTTGGGATATATCAAACTACTGAGCAATGACTTAGTGAAACAACTAAGCCCTCCACTATCTGCTCTAATTAACTAACATTTTGTTGCTTTTCAAGTCCTGCTTTCCTCTTGTCCATCCTTTTTTGTCTCAACTGCACACCTTGGTAATTTGTATCTTTTCTAATTCTTTTGTCGTATCTTTGGAACTCAGTTGTTTTGGTTGTTTTAATTTCTTTCACTGTTGAAATAAGCTACAGAGGTGCCACTGCATGATGCACCAGTGACAAATACATATATAAAGTTGGTAAACAGAGACACCCTTTACACCTTGCGTTAAAATGCATCTAGTATCCAGATTGTATCTGTGTCTAATATTAAATGTGCAGCTAATTAATTAGTATGTCTCCATTCAGTTCACCAAAACATGAGCATGTTCAATGAATTAAGCTCTTTAACGCGGCATGGACACACTGCCTGGCCGATCAGATCACAATCCATCCTCAATGCGTCTACACCTGTACTTTCAATGAGGTCAAGTACTATCCGACTGCAATCCGATCACCCAAAACACATTTTAATGCCAGGTGTAAAGCGGGCCAGAAACACTCCTATCACTGTGATGGATTGATTGTTGGCAGCATTTTAGAAAGGTCATCTACCGTACCATGTGAGTGACCAGGATGGATTGCATTTTGGCGGCGCCAAGGTAACCCAGGATGTAAGAAGCAAACAGGGAAGCAACCTGGAAACAGAAATAATTAGACAATATTAACAATATACTCCAGAAAACTCCAACACTTAATAAAGTGCAAACAACTGTATAACTTTAATGTCTTGAGTCGGGCACAGACTGGGTGCATGTGTGGGTGATACAGCTGGGGGCCCGTTTTTCATATCCACCGCTAACACGAAAGGTTCCTGCATCTTCAATTTTTAAATTTTAAATGTATTACATTTACCCATGGCGTTATGACTATAGGTGAATGTTGGCATGTACATGTGCTCAGGACAGCATTCTTTTTAAATGTGTAAAATTTGGTACATTTCTGAGCATATACAGTCAAGTTACAACAACTTCCTGTGTCATGGCGAAGAGTTTAACCGCCACGACCCCACCACGCCGTTAACTGCATCAATGTGTTATGTGTTTGAAGCTGATATGTCCAACCTGCTTGGAGTAGTACATTACAACATAAATAGTGTCATTTCCTGTTGCCAGCAGGTGGCGCGATGACTTTGAGTGAATATTGGCATATGGATGTGTTCTGGGCGGGACCAAGGGGGTAAGCCACAGTTGAAACAGTGAAGCCAACCAAAGCCTGCATGGAAAAATTATCCCAAAAATGACGTGTAAAATCCTGTGACATCCCGTCGCACATGAGAGATGTAACCGTATTGCTTAGATTATAAACTCTGTGAATCTAAAACAACTATTCGGCCATCAGTGACGCTACGTTGGTGTTTGGCAGGTGAGCCTCGTAGGTGGGCTGATTAATCAGTGATTCAAACCAGCGGGGTGGCTTTGTCCAGTAACATACTGTCTATGGGCGTGACTCTTATAATGCATCCCAAATTTGGTGCAGATGTGAGCATGTATGCTGAAGTTATAACAACTTCCTATTTCTTGACAGCACGCCACGGGCAATCTGGTCAACTGGTAATAACCGTTTGTACAACTTTTAATTATCAATGAGTTTAGACTGCACAGTGAAAACTTGAAGTCGATCGGACTATTTTCCTAGGAGTGCAAATCGCCAAAAACGCCCATTAAATCCAAAATGGCCGACTTCCTGTTGGGTTTAGGCAATGGCTCCAAGAGGCTTTTTGGTACGTCTGGACATGATACAATTACTACAGAAATTTCGTACACGTAGGTGAAACTTTGTGCGGGGGCTGCTAGGGAGCCGGTTTGCCACGACCCAATTTTTCACCCCTTCTGAGTTATGTGCAAAGTTTGGTGAGTTTTTGAGTATGTTTAGGACCCCAAAATTGAGGTTACTTTGCAGAAGAAAAAAATTCCTTCAGTTCCAATAGTGACCTTGCATGTCTCATGCATAATAGCTGTTGAATAACTTGTCTCATGTTAAAATCCCTGTACAGAAAGCAGCTGTGCCCTGAGGGGGCGTCCAGCAGCGTGGCTAAACTGCTGCCAAGCACAGATGCTCGCAGCGGTGACCTGTTTATGCTGGAGTCGTGTGTCAAACTCCAGCTTTTCTGTCTGCCAGCCTACACTCTTTATCTTACTATTTATTTCTTTAACTTGCTTGTCTGAATCTGCCCTTCTTACAGTCAAGTATTCCACATACATTTTTATATGCATACTTTCCTCCTGTATGTTATGAGAGGTTTATGAAGTAAGGATGTAAATGGTGTATTCTTGTACAGTCTTTGTTTTCTTTGCCATCCTGGCCAACTTCTGCACTCCTTGCACCTTCCTTACTAGAGTCCTCTGTCCTCTCCAAATCTCTATTTTCTCCCTAATCTCTGCCCTTCTTCTTTCTTTCCACATTCTCTCTCAGTGGTTCTCTTGTTCTCCCGTTACCTGAGTGAGCAGTACAAACTGGGCGAACTGCCAAGGCAACATAAAGCACAAAGTGGAGATCCCCAGAGCGACCATGGAAGTCCTGCTCGGGTTCCGTGTCCTGGGGAGACAAAAGAGACAGAGGATGAAAACAAAATAGAGTGGTGAGAGAGTGTGGGTGTAGAGGAGATAAAAGAAGATGCATTAAGAAGGCTGCAAAAACACACATACATACACACAAGCACACAGACACTCAATTTCACTCTGAGCGTAATACACAGAGCCAGTTACATACAGTGCCAGCCTCAGAAATACGTTAGAGTTTGTTCTCCTTTTAAAGCTGATAGTAGAAGAAATCACAGTTGACTGACTGCACTCCGGCAAATAGCTGATATACAATGAGAAGATTACGTGTGAGAAGTACATCAGCTCACCACGCAGCCTGCTTCAGTGTACTATTTAGCAGATGACAGAAGGTAGCTTTGCTTCACCCCGGTAATTACAACACACAGGGTAAACTTTTATAACCTGTACATGCAGTACACTACTGGCGATGTGTACTGCATGTGCAGCTAATGGTACTCCATGAAATAAGCACTACATTACACAGAAGTAAGAATCATAACAAGTTAAGATTTCCATATAAACTGAAAGAAAGAAAACAACATTATTTTGGTGCTTTTATTTATTGGTGAGTTTACCGTAGGATGTAGGTGAGAAGTAGCATTTGCAGGACTAAGAAGGGGTAGGCAAAGCTCTCCCTCAGGGGCGGCGTCCACATCACACGAGTGCTCTAAAATGAAACATGAAGACACACGCTCAGAAATAAAAATCTGAACAAATATATATACATTCAAATGCAAATCAAAACACTACAGTGGCTGGCATGCCGGTGTTCAAGTTACACGTACGCCGCTGCTTCCAGAAATGAAGAATCGTATTGTTTTCATTATCTGTAAAAATAGAGACTTGCTATTTGTTCTGGAAGAAAGTGGAGAGTAGGAGGTGAGCAGAGGGACTCAGCTTTAAATGCCAGACAAAATTAAGTCTAAGCTCCTTTAAGGGCTGAAATGAGTCCCCATGAACCATCCTCTGCTTTTCTTTTTCATTTTGAGTTTTACACATTTTAGAAGCTTACACCCAAAGAGACTTGCACAGAATTATAGTACAAAGCAGCAAACTTTTAACACTCCTAACTCACTGATAGTTAAGGGCAGTGCACTCACCTCGCCGTGATTGAAGAAAAAACACATTGTGGTGACAACGCCGCCCAGTCGACTGCCGCTACACAGGAAGACACAAGATAAAAGAGGCAGAGAGCAAACGAAAGATTCAGAAAGGTCATTCTTAATCTGATGTTACAAATCCATATTTGACAGAACTGAAAGACAAGTTACCTGAGGTAGGCTCCATAAATGAAGAACAAGCTCATCATCACACCGTTCAGCAGGAACACACAGGTCACGTAAAAATACGCCGGGTCGCCCATTCCTAATGACCACAACATGAACACACACATCCAGACAGACGGGAGGGGTTCAGTAAGCCATGTGTTTTGTTTGACATCTAAGTCATATACAGCTACAACTACATATAGTTTGACTGTAATGTTGTACAAAAGTGCACATAATCACTTGACAAATGCATTTGGTATGTTCATATACACAAAATACTTTCATTTGTTTTAATGGTTACTGCTGAACTTTGGTCTCCCACCACTGAAGTGACTGAGCTTGTCTGCATGCTCCATCCAACACTTTTGGCCATGCTTCCAAGTAGGAAGCCAGTGAAGTGTCACAGGAAAGTTAGTGGGGTCAGGCAAAGAGCAGACAGACACACCGGATGTTTCCAGGCCAACAGAGGGCAATGACTGCAGTATATGTGAAGTTACAAATTGTATGTTGCGAAACACAAGCAGGTTGCGAAACACAACCCCCAACACCCTCTCTCTTTGCTTCCTCTCTACGGTCCACTTTCAAATTTCAAAAAAATGCCTCAAAATAAACTAAAATAGTCTGAGGTCTCAGTTTTGATCCGACTATAGGTTCTTTTTACAGGGCAGAAATATCAGATAAGAATTACACCAAAGCTGAACTGAAATTAGTATGAGAACATATGGCATATGTGAGATCCGGGGAACATTAAGACAACACATTCCCCTTAGTGAGTTGATCCAACAGTAGATATAAGAATATATAACACAGAATAACAATCACTCTAATATAGATGTTTTTTTTAAATGTAGGTTCCTCAATTTGTACTTATTCTGACAATAAATTTGTTTCACCATATTAAATTAGCAGAAGCTTTGAAGTCTGTTCACATTAATAAGTGCTGCCACGGTAATTCACGGGACCAAAAAAACGAAAGCAGCTCAGTGTGAGTCCCACTGTGTCATTCTGCATCTCATAAATATAATGTAGTCGCTGACACTTTTTGTTCCCTGGTTTATGTAAACACTGTGAAAACAGCCCGTGTACATTGACCCTGGGGTGCCTCGCTTCACTAATGAGACTGACAGAAACACACAGATTGCAGCTCCACAAAGGAAAGCTGACAACAGTTTTTGCTTGTTTACTGTCAGCAGATTTACCCTTCTAGGAAAGGTTCCTGCGAGCGAATAACAGAAAACTATTTGTGTGTAATAGGTTAAAAGTATTTTTCTTTCCCTCGGGGTTACTATAATAATAATTCTCTTTTCCTTGCTGTGTTATACCGGTAGTTCTGCCAATTTGTTTTTGCTGTTTTGCATACCTTTGCTTGAGATGCATGATTGTGATCCTTGCAGTGTTTCACTATTCTCTTGCCATATTTCTTTTTATTGATAATAGTACTAAAATGATGAATCAATTAACGGATTGTTGTGGCAATCATTTTGATAATCGATTAATCATTTTCAGACTTTTCAAGCAAAAATGCACGGTTCCTAGTTTCAGCTCCCTAAATGTGAAGATGTTCTTCTTTTCTTTGTCTTATGTGATAGTAAAGCCATTTAAAAAAAAAAAAAAAAGTTGTTCAACATTCTGGAAATACCCTTATTCTCAACAGGGTAGTGACTTCGCTGAGTCTCCACTGGTTGTCTAGCAACCTCACTGTGACAACAAAACTCAGACAAGAAACATTTCAGCACATAACCCCCCCAAAACCAGACTTATGAACTTACAAACATTAGAGCTGCTGGAGGGCAGATGGACAGAGCCAGGCTTGCCGTTTCCCCCTGTTTCCAGTCTCTATACCAAGCTAAATTAACCGGCTGCTGATCTTTTAAATCTAATTATAAGTTGAACTTTTGTGAATTCCATACTGTTGGTCAGACAAAACTAGCAATTTAAAGATGTAATTTTAGGCTCTAGAAACTATAGATTCAGATTAATACAAACGTATTTTACCAATGAATAAAAAATACTGAGTATTCTTGTGATTTACTGCTTTTATTCTGTGCATGTAAAAATCATACCTGAGGACTAGAGGGAAAAAAACTTGATTCATCAGTTATCTGTAGAGCATTTTTGTAGAAAGAGTTTTGTTTGATAGTAAAAAAAAAAATAAAAGGAATCAAGTCTGCTTCCTTTGTTCAATTCCATCTGTAAAATTTCTAAATTTTCTCTTAACTGACAACTCCCCACGAGATTGCATCTTTCTTTGAGGGAAGAAAATCATCAAAGAAATGAGTCATCTGGTCAATACAGCGAGAGACTGAATTGACAAGACTGTATCATTTTGTTTAGCTCCAGGTCATTAGAGTAAAATTATCTGCCTGTGTAATGTAGTCATCATTCAACCTACTGCCTCTGTGTGTGTGTGTGTGTGTGTGTGCACAAATTAGCGTATTTGCACATCAGACTGGAGTTCCAAGGCAACAGCAAACCTTCACAGCTGTCCACAGGAGTGAGTCCCTCGCCTCTATTGATGGACCAGCACATCTTTGTGGGAATGCCAAAGTATCCCATTACACCTGTGTACATCCGGTACCAGCTGGCCAGGACCACCTGGGGAGCAGAGACGGACAGAATCAGCGCAAATCCTGTTTAAATAACATGTTTGAAAGACTTTTCTGTCCTGTTATCTCTGGGGAGTACAGACACACCCTCTAGTCCTGTAGAATTCCATTACTTTTCCACAAGTATGGTCCCTAATACAATTACAAGGAAATAAAATAACTAATGATTGTGTGAAACTAATTCTAAAATCAATTCTGGTGTCACCTTATAAAGTAGCCTAAATGTACTCATTCAACAAAAAGAGTTTTTTTTAAGAAAGGATTCATTTTACATCCAATGTTCTTCAGATCTTGTAATTTCTAGAGATCTCGTGTATTATGCGTAAACACTGAGATGAGTAATGCTACTTTACTGCAAATCAATTTAAGAGAATACAAAAATCAACATTACCTCTGGATAGAGATTAAATCTCTTCAGTGTGTTAATAACCAGGGGGTACTCCGTCAGACGATCGTTCATGACCATGTGTAGACCTTCCAGGAAAGAAGGAGCCTCAATAATCGTCTTGTAGTAGGAATAGTACAGACCCTGGAACCAAAACAAAACACATACACTTGAATAAACCCATGCAGAAAAACTGAAAATGAGAAAGGAGTTGTGACAGAGAGAGGAAGAACAAAAAGACAAAAGGAGACACTTAGAGACAGCAGAAGGACCCTGAAAATAACACCACAAAATAAACTCAGAAGAAACACGAACAAGTTGTACAGGCTCAGCAGATGGCAACAGTTCGCAGCCCATTTGGTAACACACAGCAGGGGTGAGGGAAGAAAAAATATTCTCTTGGCATATGATTAAATCGTCACCTTCAGAATCAGTGGCCTGAAGCCTGCACTGCATGTTAACATCAGCGACTTTTACAGGGTTACAGTGGTGCATATGCTACATTAAATGGCACATTTGCTGATTTTGCACTTGTGCAGCTGCCTTTGCAGTGACTAAGATGGAAAGTGATTGAAAACAGACACCACAGAAAGAAGAAATGCACCAGCACTGTCAGTTTTGTCCAATATTGTTAATAATACTGAGAGGAAATTATGATTTTCTGTGATTGTGCAGATAATACGGAGTAACAAGAGTTAAAGTACGGTCACATTACATTTCTGCCTTGCGAATATTTACTGTCTCCCTCATTGATTTCAACTGAACCCTGTACAACTGACAAAGGCAAGCCTGTTTTTCCTGTTCTTCCTGTTCTAATCACCTGGCAAACTCTAGCAGATGCACAGGTCAGACGTCACCTTTTTTTCCAACTTTGCATTGCAGATTTGCTTAGTTGTCAAATAGAAACAGATGTAGTGTCCGGAAATGTCAAACTCATTATTCTAGCGCTGTGTCATAACCTTGTTTTGTCCCAACAATACCAAATTACAAAATGCAGCATCGCTGGCACAGACAGTTTGTGATCATTATGCTCAATTTTTATTTATAACCCGCATTTGAACTGTGACACTTAAAGCTAAGGTCACTGCACCTTTATGCTTGTTTTGTCTAACAGTTCAAAACCCCAAAATATATAATATCCATCACATTAGGCACAGAAAAGCAGAAGATCTACCTGTGGTAGCACTTTAAAGATGAATTCACAAAGAGTGAGTTGTCCTTCAGAGTTTATTGCAATATTCAGTCACACATTTGCAAACAGACCTATAGGCTTGCCATGTTCAGAGATGCTGAATGATGTTCAGCTGAAAGTACTAATACATATTCTCATCCTTGGCAGGTGTCCTTAAACAATCATGAGTGTTTTTTGTTGATAGAGTGGATTAACAACCTCATGTCTAGAAAGTCTCTTTCTGACTCTATCTGCTGGGTATCAAGAGTTGCTGACGAGGAAGCAGACAAAAGACAAGGTCTTATGCAATATTCTGTTTAATGAAAAAAACAGTCCAAAGTCAATAAGGTTTTAAACTGCCACTACAGTCATCTCACACATTTGCTTGAAATGTCAAGCAAAATTACTTTAACAAATAATTGATTATCAAAATACTTGCAGATGAAGTTTTCTGTCAGTAGCCTCAATTTATTTGTTTCATCTCTAGTGATGAAACTCCCTTACACTGATCAACATATCCTGTTCTTTTGGAATAAATGTACCTCGCATTAGTGTTGTAGTACTCCAGACCGGTCTTAAGACCACTTTTTGATGGTCTTGGTCTTGTCTCGGACTCGACTGAATTTGTACTCGGTCTTGTCTCAGTCTCGGTCATTGAGGACTCAGGATTTTATTTCAAGACCAATCAAGACCATAACTTTGGGAATATCAATAAATTTCTTTTGCATTGTCTGATTTATTTGTTAACATCCTAACTTTGATTGTATGTAAAACGTATTGCTTCAGATGCAACAAATAACCCTAATTAAAAATGTGTTGTTACCATTAACGACTGTCCCCACGATGGTACGCATGGAAAAGTTGAATAAAGATGCTTATATTGATTTCACCTCTTAGTGTTTGTATGTGGGTGTTTTAACCGGAATGTGGATCTTTCAGATCAATTTGAGAAGTACGTATGATCTCATTTCGTCATGTAATGTAGGGAACTGGTCTTGGTCCTCGACTTGGTCTCAGCCCCTAAAAGTCTCGGTTTTGTCTCGGTTTCAATAAACTCTGATCTTGGTATTGATTTAGTGTCGGTTTGGGCAGTCTTGACTACAACACTACCTCACGTCATGGTTCATCACAAGCTATAATGTGTTGAGATAATATGATTTTAAATGCAAAAGAAGGTAGACAAGTGGACACTGCCCATTCTTAAAGAATCTTCTGCTTTAGTATTCTTAAATTCAATTTATACAGTACATTCTTGGTTGATTTCAAAATTGGCATTTTACTCTCTTTTTTTCTATAAGCAGATTACACAGTCTACAAGGATTGCCAAATTATCATCAGAATCACACTATTATCTTAAAGAATTAGTTGAACAAATAAATCTGCAACTACTTTGAGAATAGATTAATTATTTGAGTAATTTTTCAGGCAAAAATGCTAAACATTTCCTGGGTCTAGATTCTGAAGTCTGAGGATTCGCAAAGAGAATTGAGTCTCTTTGGGTGATGCTGATTGAACAAAACAAGACATCTGAAGATGTTACCTTGGGCTCCTGAAAACATTTACTTTACATTTTTCTGAAATCTTATACATAAAACGCTTATTTGATAAGTCTAGTAATTAAATTAAAAAGTTAGTATCATGATCTTCCTTTGAAAACAAGCCTAAAACCTTAACACTAACCTGTTCTGCAGTAAAACTCAAACATGAATATTAGTATGGGCTGACATCAGGAGGTAGGTAGTGCATCCCTAATAACAATTAACTTGTTTACCATTTCTGTCCGAAAAGCCATTTCCTTCTCCAGGTTGGACAAGTGTGAAAAGTGTCTGTCATTCTCAAACAGCTGTGAGAGATGATGCCTAATCACAGGAAGAGAAACATGTGAGCCAAAAGCCTCACCCATAAGTAAACACAATAGTAATATAAGTTACGACTAACAACTTACCAGTGGAGATACCCAGTCAGAGCAGCTGTGGACAGAGAAAATTAACTTTAACTGCTGCTAAATGCTACTTGATGTTTGACAATCTACAGAAAAAAAGCCACGAACACAGAACAGGGGTGCATACTTAAATAAATCATTTGAGTGGCTAATTAGTTGTGCATTTTGAAGAGAAATCATATAAGCCTTAGCTTGAACTTTGCAAGAAAACCTGTTAACAAGTGTGGAACAGGCATGTCACATAAACGGGGGAGAACACAGACTACTTCGGTGCGATTTTAATGAATAGCAACAATAGGTAGCTAACGCTGGTGAGCTAGCGTTTAGGTGAGCTAACGTTAGCCAACTGATCGGTGGAGGAGATAACTTAGTTTAGCGGATCCGCTAATGCTACAGATGTATACAACGTTAGCAGCCGTTAGCTAGGGGAGCTAACAGGCTAACGCTCCCAACTTACCGAGGAGAAGAGTGATTCCCAGCTTCGCGACAGCAGAGGAGTTAGCCCAAGCTTGTGGCTGATGCCCGAGAGCCCGTTCGGATGAGAGCTGTTGGAAGCTTTGCCCTCCCTGCCTGGTCGCCGAACGTTACTTTTGCCAGGGGGCGAAACAAGCGGGCTCTTGTCGCGGTCAGCGTGGGTCGCTTGACTCTTCCCGGTCTGTTTTCTGGTTTTAGCCACCATGATTTCCAGGAAGAGCCGAGGTTAGATAAAGAGGTGCAATTAGGTGGAAAAACCCAGATGGGTGTGAGCAAAGCAGTGCCACACAGTTGCTCGGATCTGGTCCTCGGATCTGCCCCTTTACTACCTGAGTGATGCTTGCTTGTACTGACTGGTTCCTCGCTTCAGACTCTTAGTACAAATCTTATGAGGCTTCTCCCCCAACTGGACGTTTGGCGCCACTGCAAAGAGCTTCTGGTGGTAACCATGGCAACGCCAAGTAAAGGGTACCGAAGAAAGAAACCGTTAAAAAAGTTACATTAGGACCCATGTCCACCTGAAATTTATCAGTTGACAGGGTTCTGTCTTATTAGCCCACATCAAACTTTTGACTAGGCTACTTTTTGACTTATTAATAAGTTATGACCAAGATAGGCTACTAATTATACCTTATTATTATATAATTAAAATCCTAACCAGCCCACAAATTGAAATCAAGACATTTAGTTAAAAAACTTAGTAATGCCACTGGTAGGCCTACCTTACTTCACACAAATTTTAAGGTACCTGTAAACAAATTAGGTATCATAAAGTTTTTTTCTTACCAAACTTTGTTTATGAACATATAGCATTACCAAATTACAAAAACAAGAACATTAAATACCAGCAACTTTGCATACAGACAAACAACAAGATAAAGTGAAACCAAAGGGTAGACTAATCACTTGCCAAAAAGGCACAAATAAAAAGATAAAAAAGTAATTTATTCAGAGCAGGGAAAATTATATAAATTTACTGTTAGAGTATTTACATTTATGGATATTAAACTGGACAAGACACTTAGGCAGAAGTAGCTTTCATTCCTGTTATCCATAGAACTTCCACCAGCATTTGCAAACCAGTAGATGTCACTGCAGGACCACAATATTTTTGCACTCTAATATCATAATTCAACATTTTAAACTGCATCTCATAAAAAAAACAATGGCTACTGTTCACATTATATATAGGGGTCATATGAACTTCATTAAACCAGACTTACATATTTATTTTGTTTTATTTCTTACAAAGAGCTCTTTTTTCCCATTTCCCTTTATTTGTTTTGTTATAATCACTTGTGAATGAAGATATTCTGCAGATTGCCAGGCCAAATGAGGGAGCAGGAAAATTGTATTTTCACCAAAATATGGCACTATGGAAATTGAGAAGAGTAGCTGACTCTGTGATTTTAGTCCCTTTGGGCTATGACATGGGTGCCATTGTTTCAAACTGGATATTTTGGAGCTCTATCTGGCTCCAGAGACAGGAACATTAGGAAAGATTAGTTGATCTCATCTGTTTAGCTTGGAGAAGGACTGGTAAGGAGCAAGAGGGGAAAAAACTGTCTGCCATCTGGTGGTAACATCATGACATCTTACCACAAACTCCACAAACAAACACCCGCTGGGGGAATCTGCACGAAGATTCCCGCTCAGGGTGATGTGGTGGAGAGCTGGGGAGGTGTATGAGGGTGAGAAAACTGCAGGGAGGGATGAGAACTTTTTGGAGCCAGTGTGTTTGTTTTCTCCCCCAGCTCGGCAATGGGAGCCAAAAGCTGCATGTGAGAATCAGACCAGAGAAAAAAGGGGAAGGAAGATGAACATGGAGTCAAAGCTGTCTGTGCAAAGATCTGGCAAGTGAGTCTAACCATGTCATCCCATAAAAAGGAATATTTGTTAGATTATTTACCAGGATTTTGTGGTTTTGACCATTGCACTTTATCTAGTCATAGAGTTTATGTAATTTTAAATTCATTATTTATTTTGTTCTCCATTAGTTCTGCAACACATGTTATGGCAATGCTGTATTTAACTGATAGTGTTCTAATAATTTCCTAAAACGTTTTGTGGAAAGAACAAATTCTGATACTGTTCTGTTGTTTGAGCTTACTTAGTTGTGTTGAGTTTTTAAGCAGTTGTTTATTTTCAGAGGAACTATTAAAATCTTAATTAACTGGAAAAACTAATTTAAACCCAATATGGATCTATCTTTGGAAACTCTATCCTCCATAATATATGAAATTTCTGATTGACTTTAGATAAAATTTATTTAATTTTTCTGAATGTTCAAAAAGGTATACTAATTAAACAGTGTCTCCATTGTCCTTGTAATTATTGCATTACTGGTTTATTACTTTCAAATGTATTAAAAAGTGGAAAATTAATCAAATGGTGAAAAAGTGTATTGTGTAGGCCTATCAGTTTTGCTTCTCCCCAGTGTTGACTCAATGGCTGCGGCCTTGCATCATTCCCTACCATAATCACATCTAAAATCCCATTTAAAAATGGGACACAAAATGTAATTCTTACTGTGTTGGCTCACAAACTAATCTAACTGTCTTACCGAAACAGGCTTTCTTACTACCACGCCAATCTGACAGGATGCTTGTTGTTATACTACCCTACAGCAGTTTTTGTTGGAGCGCCATGCATTTGTGCCTTCCCCATTTTGTCTGTCCAACCTAAGCCACGCCTGAAAACCACAAGCACATGTGGACCACGCATGGGATATAAACCCTTCGCTGCATGCTACATCTCTCATCAGCAACCCCAATTTCCAACCCACCAAAATCCCCCTGCTCCTCCTCACTCTCATGGTGGTATTTTCTCTAACTCCCGGCTGATTCACGGCTGGCGGGCCCGGCCAAAATACAATAACTAAGGCTGAGTTTTCGTCAGAGCTGTCAGAAACCCAGAGGTGTCGCTGGATGGGATGAGGGTGAGGGAAAAGCTATTGAAAACGATTAGCTCAGCTTGTGATTGCACAGAGGGAATTTGTTTTTACACCAAACACTGCATGGCAGAGGCACTGGCCGGATGAGAGTGTGGGCGTGTACAGGCCGGGGTATTTGGCCGAGTCAGTCTTGTGGCTGGGGGTTGATAACACCCTCTATCCAAGATGATCCACTTTAAGACAGCTGGCTTGAAAAAAAAAACAGTTTGAATTAAACCATGTCCACTCTGAAGAAAAGATGAGTGGATTTTGCAGAATAGAGTCACTTTTATATTTCCTTCATTAACCATTTCAGACTACAGGATGGCATTCAGCTCTGTAGTTTCCAGTCATATTACAAATGTTTTTGTCTTGTGTGTATGTGTGTGTGTAATGTGTGTAATGTGTTCCCAAATTAATGCAGATATCCGATACTTTGTCTAATCCATCTCATAATGACATGATTCATTTTTGGGAATCTAAACCCTTGCAAAAAATTCAACTGATGATGTAATTTATGACTACATACTATGCGTAGCGCAGAATTATAATTTTTTATCTAAAGCAACAAAATTCAAAATAGCACATCCATTGTGTCTTTGTGTGTGTCCTGTCAGTGAGGTGAGGAACAGTTAGCTGTGTATATAAGCTGAGCTTTTGGAGCAACGAGGTCATCTCTGCTGCACAAACATCTCCCAGATGGCTGCAAGAACCGAGGAAGCGGAGGAGGAGACTTCTGGCTTGGACAGCAAGGGGACCCATCGATGCCAGAGTAACCAAGGGACAGTGGGTAGACGGCTGTGTGTGTGTTTTATTCAATCATGAAATACAATAGTTAGTAATTACAAAATTGCAAAAGCATGAATCCCTTTTTTGTTGAACCAACCTCCTCGCTTTAACAGTGGAGCAATGGGCACAATCCTGTGCAAGTATGTTAAAGTGTGTTTATGTGTGTGTACATGTATGTGTGTGAAATACTACAGATATTTTATCAGGATTCATATTTTGTTTTTGTATTTGTTTACACACACCAGCATGTGTTTAGATGCTCCGTGTGTGTTCACTTGTACTTCTGCTACCTTTGTGTGAAACAAATTGAGTTTTAGACCTCTTGACTGAGGACATTTTTGTAAAGTGAGGACACTGTCTATCCAGTCTTTACCTCTTATAAGATTATTGTAAAGGTTGGGGTTAGACATGTAGATGGCTGGGGTTAGAGGTTAGGAAATGCATTGTGCAAAAATGGTTCCAAACAGGCATTTTGACAACATTTCCACCACAGGAACTTTTTCAGCACCTATTTTTAGGAACTAAAGAAGCTATATTACAACTGGACGAACAAGCATGGGAAGAAATATGGGCACTGGAGATGCACAGATATAGTAGCTATAGTTGTACAGTACGTGTTTGTTTGCACTTAGCAAACTTCTTCAGTCCTCCAGTCCAAAATCATTTTTACCTATACTTTTTTAGAATGTTACAATAGTTTTAAGATTGTTGTTCTAATTGTTTGTTGATTTACTACTTTAAAATCATGTAATAGTCTGAGCCATGATTGTAATAACCCAAATACACCATGCGGAATCACCATTTGTTTATATTAAGTTTAACAAATTATATGCCTTTGTGCATAAGAAATGTTATTATGAAAGCTTGACCTATAAAAACTCTCTGTAATACTATGTATGTGTGTGTGTGTGTGTGTGTGAGAGAGAGAGAGGCAGGGGAAGGGATGGGACAGGGGGGAGGAATTAATTTCTGGGACAAATGGCTCCCTGTGTAGTTGTGACATGTTTATCACGGAGCAGAAACACATGCTGTCAATGATCACTCGTTGTTTGAGTATCAGTTATCCCAACATTAAGGCCCATTAGTATTCTCTGGAAACCAATTCAATTAGCGCTCTCCAGGGGCCCGGAGGCCATAACACCACATCAGTCAGGAGTTGCAGGAGAGAGAGGTTGTCACAACCTTAGCGTGTGTGTGTATGAGTTAAGTAGCCTATATTTTGCCTGTTCTGACGTCTCTTGGGGCTGATTTAGGAGTAGGATAATAAGCAGGGTCGAAAAAAGCCGCACAGCAGTGCCTTTTTTGGTTGAATTTGTAAAAGAGCAGGGTGCTGGGTTTTTATTTCCGTTGCTAGGCAACCACCGAATCAGCTGTTCTGTCAGTCTCATCAAAGATTATAGCATCAGCGATCTGTAGCCTAATCTTTGGTTTGCTGCTAAGTAATGACTCATATTAGCAGAAACTTGATCACAACTCACAGATTT